TTATTTGTCCACAGATGTTGACAAGCTACCTCAGTCTAACAGCGAACTTGACCAGACCAGAGGGTTATTGAAAGGGTGTTAAATCCCTTACATGATTTTTTTCTTTTCAATCCCTTTTGTTTTTCTTGTGCAGCAACACTGGAGAGGCATCATGCATTGCTCATTATTTTGTGCTTGCCCATTTAGACATCATATTAAAAAAGATTCTGACTCGAGCAACGAGTTTTCCAGTCAAATCTGTTGGTCAACTAGTGTGTACTGACTGAATGTAGTGCGCAAATGGACACTCAGTTCAGAAAGAATGGCGTTTTGACACCAATGGTCGTTTTGAGATGCTCGTCACAGAGTAAATATTGTACGATAGCTAATGCAATAATGATAATGTATTATTTCTGATCATTTAATAGAAAATTGCAGGTCTCAATGTCATTTATTGCTTTATTTCAGTTGTTTTGGTCTGTACAAGGCTGCTGAAGTCATAACTACACAAAGGCAGAATGTTAAATCAGGTTGAGGAGAGGACAAAGAGTTGTTTTAGTTTTCATTTAGACATGTCTGTAGTAAATTATTAGGTTTATCTAGCAGGGGAGCTGACGTTATTGGCAAAATTTAAATTTATTTGCCTGAACTCAAATCCTGTTTGTTTGTTTTTTTTTCTTTTTTTTTTTTCTTCTCTCAGTTGACTTCACTTTACATTTTTCACTTTTTTCATTTTGGACGAATGGCTGATTTGTTTGAGCCCATTGTATGGAGGTTGTTTGTGTCCATTTCAGCCGGTTGAGGAGGTGTTGACATTTGCGTAAAGTTTTGTGGACTTGGCGACAGGTGCGAAACTTAAATATGTACCTTAATTTGCTGTCAGAATGAGTATTTATTGATTTAACAGTTTTTGCCTCTTTTATTTGAATTACGTTTGGTATTTTTGTGCATTTCGTGAGGCATTTCGCAGCAATTTCATGAATTTCCAGCATGTTGCTTTGTGGTGGTAGATAGCGCTGTGTCCTCTCATGGCCTGCTGCTGTACGTGTACATTCAGCCATTTGCAACAGTCCGAACATAAGGGGGCTTAGTCAGGACTATGCAGACTTGACCTAAACCTCAGAAGAATTAAACTCCCGCTAAACGACCAAACACAAATGGCACATCCATATGGCTGATCTGTTGAGGAGGACTCAGGGATGACGTGTTCTACTTGTCTTTACATTTTCTTCTCAGTCAAACTTGACACTCGAACCAGGTTCCAGCATCGTGTACAATATTACCCTCATCATCAGGTCACATAAGGCAGTCTAGGTTTCTGATCTGGAAATTAAGATGTACTTGCAAGGCATACGAATATTGCTGTGTATAGCATATTTTGTTGTCCTCCAAGGCTTCAGAGAAAATCACTTTAAAAAAATTTGTTTTTTTCCCCACCTTCCTTTTTTTCAACTAATCCTGAATTCTGACTTGAATACTCAGTACTGTATCCTATCTGTGTTTGGGAATTTCTCAACATAAGAATATTGCCATGAAGGGTTAAATTACTTGTAAATTTAGGTTCGTCTTAGAGTCGGCATGGTCTTCCATCTCTTCATGATAGCCCAATTTCATTCCCCCTTTATATTTTTTAAGAGTAATCAGTGCTGCAGTTGACCGTTTCACATAATAAGCCCTTAATGTAGTATGTTCCCCTAAATTTGACCACACTTTTGTGATTTTTCACATTTAAGGTAAGGAACTTCTTAAATAGACTTCCATCTTTAGATACCTAGAACGATCTATTAGATGTGGATAAAATGTACATTTGCTTACAATGAAAAGATAAATGGATGGTGATTGATCACAATATATTTCCAGCTCAGAGGTGAAGACGGCCTCTGTGTAGCCAGGTGAGGTTGAAGTGGTTTTTTTGGGAATGGAGGCATCCCCTCTTGTTACAGTGCTTAAGACAGCATGGGCAGTGGCTTGCAGTTCTTGATGTAAATGTTTTGTTTGTCTTTTATATGTTCATATTAAAAGCCAATAAAAAAAAATAATATTTTATCAAGTTTTGAATTGCCTCCAGTTGCTCCAGTGGGCGGGCAAAAAAAAAAAAACATTGTTATTGGCTACTCTCAACCCTTCCTGAGGAAAATGTAAATCGGTGACCTTCTACGATGTCCTCAACGTGGGATTTGACAATATGAGCGAATCAGTTGTCCCTGTCTGAACTGAAATCAAACTGTAAAAGCTCTAACCCCCGTCAATTATGTGTGCAATTAATTAAACTGATTTAAAATAAATGCCTTTCCAGTGATTTTTAAATCTTGGATTTAACTCCATTGATTACTTAAAGAATATATTTAAGTATACCTTAGAAATGTATAAAAAAGATTTTTTTTTTCCAGAATACCATAATTACCACAGCTAATTTTACTGCAATAAAACTGGTTACAAGTACATAAAGAAGTATTGATGATTTGGTGACTTTGATACCATATTCGTGTATTGAGGTCTTTGCATTGTGTAAAAAAACAAAAAACGTTTTGCCACTTTTTGTTAAAGATGGTAAAGGATTATTACTACCTTTTCTAATATGAATATATTTTACTGTAGTATGGTATGTTGTCAAGCATAGCTGGGTAGTAACTGATTACATGTAATCTGGATTACGTAATCAGATTCCGAAAATTAAGTACTTGTAATTAGATTAAATTACATTTTAAAATAGGACCCCTAATCAGACTATAGTTACTTTTTTATTGATTACATTATTAAATATTATTCACACAATTTCATCTTTGAAATGTTCCTTTCTAAAATAGCCTACCGCTTATATACACTCAGAAAGACTTCCAGTTTTCTGGACATTCACACAAAGAGCAGTCACTAGTCAGGTGGCTAAACATCATTTGACCACTGGATTTACAAAAATAATTTCAGGTTTAAGAAGTGTTTCAACGTTGTATCAAATACTGATGAACACATTACTTTTTATTTGAATTATCACTCAATAGGTTATTTATTACTGTGTCTTTGGAAGGCTTTTGTCTTTCAAACACATCAAACTGCACAAATTCATGTTATTTCTTATTTACATGTAATGCAGGTATTCCCAAATTTATTTGTCATCTGACCCTCTTTCACAAAATATATTTACTTTAAGTAGGCTACCCTACAGATTTTAAGATACGTTCATATTTAAGTATCACGTATGCATGTTCGCGGTTGGTTAATGGTCACATGACATGCAGGTAAACAAACAAAATATTACATATTTTTAGTAAGTGTAATATTTTGATTGTTGTTATTTTGAAATTATTTATTTAAATTTTACATTATTATGAATTCATTAATTATTAGCTTTTAATTAAACTCACAAACCCTCTGCAGTTCCTTCATGAACCCCAGTTTGGAAAAACATTGACGTAATGTAATGTTTAATGTACTTCATGTTGTTAATTTAATATTATTCTGTATTTTTTATCATTATGGTACAACCTTATCCTATTTAAATCAATGTGATAAACGAGTTTGGTCAAAAGTAATCTAAAAGTAGTCTGATTATATTACCTGAAATGTGTAATGGATTACGTTACTAACTACAATTTTTGACATGTAATTTGGAATCAGTAACGGACTACAATTTCTACCCAGCTCTGTTGTCAAGCTATTTGGTTATATGTCAACTGCACAGCTTACCAGGGTTTACTGACGAAGCTCAGACTGCAGAAAATTACGTATTATATATTACAGCAAATGACATGAGATGCTAAAATATTTCAGAAATTTGGCGGCAACTTTCCTTGTGAATGTGACGGTTCTTCAGTTCACCACTAGATGTCGTTCTTACTCAAATAAGCACTCATCTTTTTGTCAAAGCTCGCGACAACTGGAGCGCTCTGACGACAGATCTCGCGAGAGCTTGTGAACGCTTCCTCTTGGTTGGATAGCGGCTTCCTGGCCGGACTTTTTTCCCCCTCCTTTTTTTTCTTGGGGGAAATTTCAACTTCTGTTTTCGCGGGTGCTCCAGGCCAAACAATTTCGGACAGCGTTTCGCGGTCGGTCTGCTGGTTGCGAACGACAGGCCTGACTTGTCTTTTGCCGCCTTTTGTCTGTGGGAGCGCTCGCGAGCCAGAGGCCGAATCGAAGCGACATTCCAGCGATGAAATAAACTGCATTTTGTGCACTTTTGCGCCTGTGGCACTCGCTCTTTCTACTTGACATCGAAATATTATTTGGTATAGCTTCTGGAAGCATGACAGGGTGTTGAAATTAAGAGCTTACGAATCTCAGAAACCTCTAAAGACACAACTGCAAGGGTTTGTGTAGCAATTTGAAGGATTGGATGTCAGCAGAGACAACCTGGTTCTCTTTGAAATAGATAACTGACAAGTATGGCACCAAAAAGAAGACCGGTCCCCTTGATTATAACCCCCACAGGAGAAGGACAGTCAACCAACATAGATGCAGCATCAGAGTATGTATATAGTTTGCTAAATCTGACATTTGTTTGGCTTACCTTCTTGCATACTTCAGTATGTCTCACCTGGTCCTGTTTTTCCTGTCTTTAGGGCCAAACTGGAGGCTTTGCAGAAGAAGTTAGGGGAGCTGGACTTGGATGAACAGCAGAGGAAGCGTCTTGAGGCTTTCCTCACCCAGAAAGCCCAAGTGGGCGAGCTCAAGGATGAAGATTTTGACCCCATATGTGAACTCGGCGTAGGTAACGGTGGGGTGGTCCACAAAGTCCGTCACAAACCTTCAAGACTGGTCATGGCCAGGAAGGTAAGCGATCGACGGACTTATGCACCTGCTGATAGTTTGCTCATGGCAGGTAATGCAATGTGATCAAAGGCTGAACTTTTTGTATTTTCCCCAGCTTATTCATTTGGAAATCAAACCAGCCATCAGGAACCAGATTATACGAGAGCTGCAGGTCCTGCATGAGTGCAACTCACCATACATTGTAGGGTTTTACGGCGCCTTTTACAGCGATGGAGAAATCAGCATCTGTATGGAGCACATGGTGGGACCAGTGTTGTTGTTTAAGGTTTATAGCAAGAGTTCATAGCAAAAGTGTTACAGCACACTGACATGTATTTGTGTGCAGGATGGAGGTTCTTTGGATCAAGTGCTGAAGGAAGCCAGAAGAATCCCTGAAGAAATTTTGGGCAAAGTTAGCATAGCTGTAAGTATTATCATCCTCCTCTGTTGTATCTGTTTCAAATAATGCTGTTTAGAGATTGATGACAAATCAACCATACTGACACAACAGTGATTAGTTGGTTAGCAAGGTTGACTAGATTGTCTAGATTTTTAAAGCCTAACCGATATTAGGCATTCTTCTTTAAGTGTAACAAATGTAAGGGCACTACTTCTTGTTGAGGTTTGTAATGTGTTGACACTCAAACTGTTTTTGGAAGGTGCTTTTGTTCAAAGTGTGTTTGAGGTGTGCATATTATCATTAGATATGTTCTCCAAATTTGCTGCTTTTAACAAAATTACTGGCACAATTGCTGTTCACATCAAATCTGCTGTGAATGATATTCTTTTTATAAATGCATGATCCATAAGTCTTTTTTAAATTATTTGTTTTGCGCAGATAAAAGTTATAGCTATGAACTTTATGTATTTGTTAAATATCCATTAGTTACCCTGTATGATCCTTCACCAATTTTACTATAAAGCGATTTCATAAGACCAACTAGTCATTCAGACTAGTCAGTTTGAAAGTATTTCTAATACTGTTATCCAGCTAGGTTGACTTTTTTGTGATAGAAAAAAAAATATTGATACCATATCATTTGTTCCATATATATTGCCGATATTGGATATTAGTTGTGCTTATTAATTTCCCCTATTTTGACATTTACCTTTACCATCATGTAACACTCATTAAGAGTGAAAAAAAAAAAGTAACCTAAAAAATTACTATACATTTTGCTTCTTGTATATTATGGTGTTGTGATGTCTTTTAGTTCTAAGTGCTTTATTTTTGTCTTACTTGGACAAACAGTATTGTATTTTAATACTGTCCATTTACTGGTTATCAGCAATAACATGAAAATAATTACCATCTTATCGGTATCAGGGAGAATTTTAATATTGCCGCATCCCTAGAATATAGTTTAACTCTACCAGTTTCTTGTTTTTGGTGTGCTGTTAATTACGGTAATTGTGTTTATAATATTTGTAATACTATATGTAAAGAAATTGTGCATATACATGGGTAATGCACATGTGAAAAGATCAGGTTATTGTGAAAAAACTATAGGAATCTATTAAATGAAAAGTACATGAAACAGCTATAGGAATCCATTAAATGAAAAGTATAGAGGGGAACCTGCTCTTCTTATTGTCTAAATGCAGAATCTACACAACCTCCATCGTAACATGTCTGGCACTAGTATGCACAGACCGCAAAATAATAAAGCTGTGACCACACCCACAGATGTGCAAACTCCCTTTTAAGTCAGAGTCACCAAAACATGCACATTTTTCAACACACATTTAACTTATTCTTCCAAATGAATAGGGTTGAACTTCTGTTTCACATTTGATCATGACAAAACACAAACATTTTAGCACAAAATCCAAACAACGGTGCAGAGATCTGTTTATGAGTGTCCATAACTGTTCATTGCACGTGTGAGTGAATGCATCTCAGATTTCAGTAATCACAAAGCAGAAGTTGTTTTGTAAAGACTAAATCATGTAAAAGGTTCTGTAAATTCAGGAAGCTAGATACCACATTGACCGTTGAGAGATAAACCCTAATGATGATATCTATAACTCTCTTTCCACAGGTACTCAGAGGTCTGGCATATCTTCGGGAGAAACACCAAATAATGCACAGAGGTACACACAGAGCAACATTCCTTACTAATATCTTAGAAAACGTACGTGTGCATACAGGCGCTGGATGGCAGCAGGAAGTAGCCCCCTAATGCAGCTATTGAAATTACATAAGAAGCTTAAAAATGATTATTATAGAGATTGGGCCTAATTTTTTCAAAGGTATTTACTGAAATTCTAACCAGAGACCTTCGAGCAACTGCAAACCTGAGATTAAATGAAGCAAAGATATTGCAAAAAATTATTATTATTATATTATTTCATTGCCAAACATCAATCTTCTACAATTAAACGTTTAAAAAAAAAAACACTACATAGGCATTTTTTGCAGGTAGATCACAAGTTACCATAGAAATAGCTTCAGTGTGGCACAACCAACATTTGAGCAATAATACTATGTCTGAAAATGCAAAGTATCAGATTCTCTGTCGGGTTGTATGAGGGTCTGAAGGAGCCACACTGGATTTAAAGGGTTAGACAGGGAGGGTCAGGCCTATAGTTGTGCTGTTGTGGCAGGGAGCGTTCGCCTGCTTGCGAGGAGCTGTCGAGGAGCCCAGCTGGTAATTACAGCCTCGGATGTGATTACATGGCAGCCGCACCCTGCAACCCCCTCCCTTCTTTTTCCTTTCCCACTCTCACCCCTCTGTCCACTCCCAGTGGGTGTTAGGGCCGAAGGAGGGCCCGTCATGTGTGGGATCGTTACGTCTGCACCGTTATTTGCTCCTCTTGCCCTGTGTTTAAGAGTAGAGAGGTGGAAAGTGGCTTGCATGTCTGTCTTTTCTGCTGCGACGGTGTTGTCGGAGCTAGCTAAGCAGTATGAAGAGCATTTTGCGAAATGTTTTTGCTGGGCGTGCTGGAGAAAGGGCATTTGAACAGGGATGAAAAGCCAGGTGGTGCCACTGGGATTTGGACCCCGGCCCTCCATCTTACATGGTCTTTCTCTCTGGTCCCTACAGACGTTAAGCCCTCCAACATCCTGGTGAACTCACGCGGCGAGATCAAACTGTGCGACTTTGGCGTGAGTGGCCAGCTCATCGACTCTATGGCCAACTCCTTCGTTGGAACACGGTCGTACATGTCGGTGAGTCACCCGCCCACTTCCCTCCCCAACCCCCAGTCCTTCTCATTCCAAGCCCTGTGCCGGTGCCCAGGATTCTTCCATGTGGAGAGGAGGAAGTCGCTGCCAGGTTTTAGCCCACTCCTCCTGGCCACCTGCAGGGTGCGGCGCCCCACCCTAGTAGAGCTTTGACTTTCTCTCTGCTCTCTGCCTTGACAGCCGGAGAGACTCCAGGGCACACACTATTCAGTTCAGTCGGATGTGTGGAGCATGGGCCTATCACTGGTTGAGCTGGCTATTGGACGCTACCCCATCCCCCCTCCTGATGCCAAGGAACTCGAGGCCATATTTGGCCGGCCAGTGCTGGACACAGTTGGGGCAGAAGGCCACAGCATGTCCCCAAGACCCAGGCCTCCAGGACGACCGGTTAGCGGTAAGACCTTGTTTAATTTCCCCAAACATTGTCATTAGTTTTAAGCGCATTCGATTTTCTCTATATTCTGCGTAATATGCGTGTTTAAGTTGAGCCTTGCAAATTGTTTTCCCCCAGGACACGGAATGGACAGCAGGCCAGCCATGGCTATATTTGAGCTACTGGACTACATTGTCAATGAGGTCAGAGAATTTGCTTGGCGTGCAACTTACTTCCTTTTTGCTTATTTTTGCCTTTTAAAGTATTTTTATGTAGCAGTTTCACTTCAATATCACCCCTTTTTCTGCTCCCCACCTGTCTCTACATCTGCAGCCACCACCCAAGCTGCCCCATAGCGTCTTCACCACAGATTTTGAGGAGTTTGTGATGAAATGGTGAGCCCCTATGTGTTATCACTGGTGTTTTTATTGTATGAACCTGCAAAATCTTCAGTGTTGAACAAAACGGCATCTGAGCTATGGCAAAGTTGGACCATGATAAAAGGGCCATAGTACAGGGATGTTCATTCTAGCTCCCGGAGGGCTAACCTGCCCCAAAACACTTGCCTGGATGTTTCTATTAATTCTGAAGACATTGATTAGCTGGTTCAGGTGTGTTTAATTAGGATTGGTGCTAAACCTTGCAACATAGTGGACCTCCAGGAGCAGGATTGGACACCTCTCGTGTAGTACAGTTTGGTGAATGCAGGTTTGAATCTGGACTGCGTTGTTCCCAGTCTCACACGTACTTTCTCTATTAATTTCTTGTAAGTCTTCACTGATCGCATTTAAATGTACTTTAAAAGTTCAATAAGACTAAAGCAATAACTTGTCCTTTTAAAATGTCACGCCAACGGTTTAGTCTGACTGAAATCTACCAGTTTGGTTTTTGCAAAGTCAGATTAACTGATCTAGATAATGTAATGTAGCTTAGATTTGCCCGGTATGTGCACACACTTATCTTGCCCCGGTGTTGTGCACTTGCTCCGAAAGAAAGTGGTGTGACATGCAATGTCTGTTTAGTCCTTAGAAAATTTGTTTACTGTAAGACTACGCAAGGTGGCTTGACTGCGCAAAAAACTTGATGAAAACAGTGATTGTAAAAGTACTTACTGTCCTGTCAAATAAAGGCAATAATACAAAACCCTCGACACCTCCCTCTAGATTTCTGGGCTAATGTTTTATTGATTTCAGAATTTTATTTAGTCTTTACTGATGTTTTTTTTTGTGTGTTTTTCACAGCCTCATTAAGAACCCTGCTGACAGAGCTGACCTTAAGATGCTAATGGTACGTACATTTCCCTGTATGGTATCAGATTCTGAACTATATTACAATTTTAGTTTTTTATCACAACATATAGAAAGTAGAATAACATGATAGGACTTAAAGAGTGAGAGCTCTTTGGAGTGACAACATATCGGTAATACTTTACAATAAGGTTCATTAGTTAACATTAGTTAACTACTGTTGTTAACATTAACTAATAGGGATGTAACGATTAACCGCGAGCCGGTTGAGAATCGATTCAAATCGGTTGAGATGCTAAACAAATCGCGATTCAATTAGGGGTAGGAGTTTATATGAATGTATGTCTGAGGGGAACTTACTGTCTTTAGAAAAGTTGAGATGGTATTTTTTCTTTTCATCTTGCCTCTGTATAATGCATATTAAAGTTCATAAGTGCAGCACTACTTTGTTTACAGCAGAAACCAAGGAAACGCTTTAAGCGCCACCTGCTGGTAGAGAGTGAATCTGCATCTCATTCAGCTCATCTGCTGTTTCTGTTTCATGTAGATATTTTTTATGTGTAGTTTCACAAAACTGAAGTCAAACCATTCTGTTTTTGCTTCATATTTCGAAATTATGCAATCTAAT